CTGGTTATTTAAAACACCGGTGGCATAGCCCTCAGAATCACAGCAACTCAAACCACCACAGCACGACAGACAGAAGTAGTCCAGTGTTTATCCTACAACACTGCTGTTATATATATTTTTTACATGTATAAAAATGTATGGAGATGTACACTTATTTAGTTTACTGTTTATAGATTGCTGTTGTTGTGAAGTGCCATCAAGTTGATTCCAACTCATAACGAGCCTATATAGGGTTTCTGAGGAGCGGCTGGCAAGCTCGAACCGCCGATCTTGCAGTTCAAGTGATCTTGAAGTCCAGCACATTAACCCATAGTGCCACACCAGGACTCTGTTTATAGATTATACATCGTTTAAAAGAAATAATATTGATAGTATGCATATGCATATGTTGTTGTTGTGTGACATTAAGTCGATTCCAACTCATAGTGATCTCATGTGATACAGTAGAACTGGCCCATAGGATTGAAGGAGCTCTGATAGCGTAGTGTTACGAATTGGGCTGCGAACCTCAGGGTCAGCAGTTTGAAACTACCAGCTGTTCCGTGGGAGAAAGATGAGGCTTTCTGCTCTCGTAAAGATTTACAGCCTCGGAAACCCTGTACAGGGTCGCTATGAGTTGGAACCGACTCCACGGCACATAACAACAACAACATACTTTCTATGAGAACAGATTGTCAAGTCTTTCTCCCTTGGAGCTTCTGGGTGAGTTCCAACTGTCAAGCTTTTGGTTAGCAGTCAAGCACTTAAATATTGCACCACCATGATTACTTATGCATATGCAGAAATATACAAGGGGGTTTCAAAAAGTTTCTGGAAAAATTTCATTATCTTTTAATTTCACATTTCCATGAACTCTTTGAAACCCTCTTCATATATGTTTAAAGAGCCCTAGGAGTCCTGATGTGGCACTGTAGGACAACCACTTGTCCGGAAGGTTGGTGGTTCAAACTCACCAGTCGCTCCTTGGAAACCCTAAACAAGGTTTAGCTATGGGTCAAAACTGACTCAACAGCACTTAACAACAACAACGGTGAACTAAAGAGAGAAAGAAAGTAATTTGTTCTGTTGAGAGGACAATAAGGAAAATAATAATTGTAATGTTTGTTAAGTGTGCTTCATTTCTGAAGAACACTGATAGTCATGCATAACAGCATGTTTTAAAAATACAGAATTCTAAAGAGCTCCATTATACCTTAACCAGTTGCTATTTAGTCCGTTCCAACCCTATGCGTGTCAGAGTAGAGCTGCATTCCGTATGGTTTTCAGTGGCTGATTATTGAGTGGACTCAAGCTTACAGCCTTTCAGTTAGCTGGCAAGTGAATAACCCTATGATACCTTACCGTTAGTGAAAAAAGTTGTTAATATGCAGAATATCATCAGTCAGATCATTGGGCTTCCCCAAATTCAGCCTTCTGCTAATTTAAATGATCTCTTGGTGTGGCACTGTAGGATCATAAAGTTGACAGTTCAAACCCACCAGCCATTCCTTGGAAACCCTGTACAGGGTCACCATGAGTGAGAACCAACTTGATGGCATAAAACAACAACAGTGGCACAGTGGTTAAGAACAGCTAATCAAAAAGTCAACAGTTCAAACCCACCAACCACTCCAAGGAAGAAAGATGTGGCCATCTTCTTCCATAAAAATTACAGCCTTGGAAACCCTATAAGGACAGTTCTACCCTATCCTATGGAGTCCTGGGGTGGCGCTGTGGGCTAATGTGCCAGACTGCAAAGTCGTTTGAACTGCAAGGTCGGTGGTTCAAGCTCAACAGCTGCACCTTGGAAACCCTGTATAGGGTCGCTATGGGTCGGAATCGACTTGATGGCCTTTAAGAACAACAACCCTATCCTACAGGGTTGCTATGAATTGGAAATGACTCAACTGCAATGAGTATGTACATGTTTATGTCCTGCCAACCTCATGAGGCCATTACAAGAATCTAATCACTCTTTAAAATGAGATAAAAAAAAAAAAAAAGCCCCGTCTTCTATTGTTTCAGCAGCTCAATACCTAGTCTTCTTGTTGCAATTGATTAGATGCACTACCTGTGATTCAGGTGATCCATCAGCATGTTTCAGCCTTACCAAAATGAAAACAAATTCTTTATATGAGAGCTGATAGTAATTTGTGAACTTGGGAGGGACATGCAGTAACTATGAACTCCCTGAGAAGACACGGGGCCTGCTCCAGGGTCCTATACCGTCCTTGAGAGAGAACCCTCCACCCTTTTCTGCAGCTGTGGAAGGCAGTGCACTTGGAAACTCTGGAGTTCCCTCCCTGTAGCTGTGTCTTCCTTGCCTCTCCCTCCCTGCCCTCTTGTCTGAAGATGGTAAACACCATCTGCCCCCATGCACAAACGCAACAGCCGGGAACTGCAATCTCATCTGCCCACCCAGAAAGTCACCCTCATCCTGAAATGCCCTCAGCCACAGCCTTTCTGCCAGCTCCAGCTAAACTCGCCCAACTGCCCTTAGTCCTCAGTGCCTAGGAGGGCGGAGGGGGGCTGAGAGTGGAGGGAGTGTGAGTAGTGTTAATCTCATTTCTGTGGTACTCTTTCTCCATCTTTGAAAATGCCCTGTGTACTTCAGGCAGCTCAGGAGAAACACATGCCTACAAACTCTGATAACACTATCCTTATTTGTCCAATAGTGGCTCCAGCCATATCACCTGGGGACTGTTTGTTCGTCTCCAAAATGAGCACGCAGCACCATATGTATTAAAATGTGGGATGCTTTTCTTCCCAATATAAACTTGCAAGAGCTGCTTCTCTACCTCTGGAAAAATTTGTGTGCTGATTTTTCTAAGTATCTAGGAAATGAAATCAAGTATCACTCTGGAATCCTTCTCTATCTTTAGCAGTGTAAGTTATAGTTGATTTCAAGATAAAATTGGATAGTCTCCGGTTCACTGGACCAATTCTTTCTTAATTTGACCAGATCACCTATGCGACTTCTGAGAGAGTTTCTTCATTTTGTTTCCCAATATCAAGAGCTCCAAACTACAGAAAATACATTTGGCAGTGTGTGAGGAAGACCTGCAAAGGTTTCCTGACTGGTCGATTCACGCCAGAGTTTTCTACAAGACAGACACTTGATAGATGTTGAAAGAATGAATATGAATGTTTAAAGCCAGCTGTGTACACAATGACACTTCCAGTTATATATATATATATATATATATACCAGAATAAAGCACAGCACCGGATCCTGTCTTCTCCCAAATCAATCTTTTAAAATACTGTATATGAAGCACATCAATAAAATATTAAAATTAAACTCAACCTTGAATGAAGCTTACTCCAGTGGGGACAGGAGGGAGAGGGATCAAGCAATACTTGATTCCATTGCAGAGATACTTAGAAAAATCAGCACACACATTTTTCACTCATGGACAGCCAAACATAAAATCAGATATGAGTAAAGTTAAAGCACTCCAGGCAAATGAATTTCAAAGAAGTGTGGCTTTGGCTCTGCTCTTGACGATTGCTGAAGGAGTATCTTGAAGAAGGTATGTAATGGGACTTTTCTATTCTCTGAAGGCTTTGAATTGTTTCTAAGGAGTATTTGCCTGAGGTTTAAACTATATTGGCTGTGATAGCTTTCCTCACTAGTCCATGAATTTTGCAAGGAGGAAGGGATACTGTTAAATCATTTGGCTCCCAGAAAACGTACCTCAGTCTTACAGATTTTGCTCATTTGTCTCCTTCCGTATCCGCTTTCGTACCACACACTCATTTTTCTTTCTTAAACACATACGTCAAACTCAAGAAGTAAGCTTTGGAACAAAACATGCCTGGGACGGGACTGATTCTGAGGAAAACTTCTCTTTGTGCCAACAGTTCCTTCTGTCACAACGTGGGAGTTGATTTACCGGAACATCTCCCACCCTCAGATAGAATGTAACTTTCAGTTAGGGCTTACCTGTCTGCAGAGAGAGCCGTCAGCGTGAAGACAGACACCCCCACTGAGGTGAGCTGTATGAAGGGGATCAGTTTGCAGCCAATCCTGCCAAACAGCCATCTGTCGGCCACATACCTGCTGGCATCCACGGGTGCACATGTTACCAGGAGGAGCAGGTCTCCCAAGGCCAGGCTGGAGATAAACAAGTTGGGTACGTTGCGCATGGACTTGACCGTACAGAAGATCTTGATCAGGGTGATGTTCCCAATGAGGCCTATCAGGATAATCACCCCATAAACCACAGGGATGACATAGAGGATGCCTGGGTGGAACCAGTCATCTGTCACAGGGGAGTCCATGCTGTGATTAGAAATGTTGCAGTGCACCAAATGGTCCACTTCCAAGTTCAGAAGGAAGCAGTCATTTAGAGCCATCCTCTAGATTCTGTCCAACCTACGGAGTGCCCTTAGCTGCTCTTCTTCACGGTGTGATGTTACAGTTGGGTGAAGATGATCTATGCTGGACTCTTTCTCTTCTGTAATACAATTGCTCCTCTCACCTACATACTATGATCTGTCACTATTTTGAGCTGCTATGGCCTTCATGACCAATGGCATGCATCTCTCAATCCAATAACTTAACAACCACACACTACCACCAGAAGTAGGGCTGAGGGAGGGCTAAACCCACTTAATATCAGCTCTTACTATCTCCCTCCTATTCAGTCTCTCTCTGGCTGCACTTCACTAAGAACTTTTGCCTGCTGCTTCCACACAGCATTTCCTGGCTTTCCTGATATTTAGAACCTGAAGTTTAAAGTGGGTAGAAAAAAACTGCACTGAGAAAGCCTCCAATCCTATAGGCAGGATGCTTTGCACGTCACTGGCTTCACCAGCAAACGGCAGCTCTGTTGAACTGAGGCGCTGACGAGGAGCAAGGCCACTTATAGACAGAGAATGCCAGCCCCCTGCTGGCCACTTCAATCACTGCCCAGTCACCCACTCTCCCCAGAGGGGACTGCGGGTCCTATGGGGCTTTACAGATACCTTTGGCCGTTCACTGCAGCCCGCAGCACCTTTGGTAGGGATTTAATAAATGTGGCTAGCACTCAGCAAAGGCCCTGGGAATCTTTCTGATCGTATCCTCAAACTTCCACATGGGATTCACAGCCCATTTTCTCATTTCTTCCAATCCCATAGAATGTGCACTTGTTAAGGTAGCGATAAAATGAGGTCTATCTGTGAATTAAATGCACACAGAGGCATGGGTGTCCATGTGTGATGTCTCACCACCTCTTTGAAAGAGGACTGCTACTGGGAAGCAAATGCTTTACACCTCCAGAAGCCGAACTCACACACGCTCTTTCCGATAGATTTATCCTGTCTCTTGGACTAGGGACAGAAGAAATCTGGCACCAGCTGGTTTTTAACTCTTAAAGATCAATGGTGTGTTTTATCCAGAAAAAAATTAAGCATTTCTTATCTCATCTAAAAATTACACCATTTCTAATTGAATGCTTGCCATGTGTGAAATTTCCTCTTAAACCCAGAATGGGAAACAAAGATTTGTAAAAGAGTGACAGGTAGAATAACATGGAATTGAGGAGACCAAAATAACTTGTAGTTGAAGGGTGCCAGAAAAGACTTCATTGAGGAAGAGTTATTAGAATTGGGTTTAGACCCTGAGCCCACAGTTTATCTTCCGAAGTACATTCCAAGATACATCTTCAAGACTTGTGTAGAGCCAGCTCTTCCAGATTCAGCCCAGAAAACCAATTACTAACAGGCAGTGCTCTTGAAGACCTGGTTGTGTAGGATCCATGACGAATCAAGACCTTATCACTATGCCAGGGTCCACCATAAAAATACTGAAGTGAGTTGTCATGGAAATTTGGAGTGGCAGTTTACAACACTGAGGCGCAGCCATGCCCCTTTGTAAATAGGAAAGACTTGAGCTCCTCTCAGCCACTGCTTGGAGATAGATGGGTTTCTCAATACTCAGGAGTTTCTCAGTTTCCATTGGTTGCTAGTAGCCTCACTTAATGGAGCCCAATATGGGCTCTGGGCTTAACTTTTGGCTCTATCTAGAAATAATGAGACCTTGGATGAGTTCCTTTGTGTCCCATGCTTCAGGTTTCTCATCTAGAAAGTTGGGGTAATGTGTGAAATTCAAGGAAATGAACCATACTGTGGACTTGTCACGTAGTAAGTGCTCAATTAAAATTAGTTGCTTTAACTATTATTTCTTTTTTAAGATTGAGGGGGAAAGACTTACTTTAGAAAAGGTCACAAGAGTGAATAACCTCCTGTCAATAGGCAAGGATTCTATTCATCTAGATGAAGCTGCTATTCCTCCATTACTTGGAAGATATTTACCATATGTTATGAAAATAATGTGCATATAATACTCTTTCTTTTTTGCCAACATCGAAGCATTTTCCTAAGCTTATTATGCTCATTTTTTTTACAGCAACAGGTAAAAAAGTTAGCATAGCACACTTACAAAAATATCTAGGGACTAGAGGGGATACACTTATAATTGGCAAAAAAACCATACAACATGTGTTCTATTTGCATAAAAATATGTATTAGACATCTACCTGCCAGTTGCAAGGCACTGCACAAGAGTCTGGAAAAATTAACAGGAAGACATAGTCTCAGTTCTTTAGGCTTGCTCCCTCCCTAGAATGAAGCAGATGTCTTTTCTTACTAAAGGTTAAGAAAGAGCTTTCTTTTGAACAAAGAAAACTGTATGAGCAAAGAATAAAGACTTAAAGAAAGGATCATAAATTGAACAGGAGGAGAACTCCAAACCCAAAAAGGTCACCCAGAAAAGGGGCTGGAAAGAGGGGGAACAAGGGGAGTGCAGCTAGAGGAGGGTTTGGGTGAAACTGGCAGATCTGGAATTCTTGCTATGAAGTTTGGTCTTAAGGATTCACAAAGAGGATTCCTGTGTGGTATTTCTCTTTATTTCTTAAGAGATCCCTGTGTGTTGAGGGAGACTCACTTCTGAAACTCAACTAGATTCTTAACGCTTCTTTCTAGATAAATTAAGCCGACGATGCTAGATACTGATTTCTTCAGGCTGGTGTTAGCATTAGTTGTTGCACAGCACTATAGAATATTCATATGGTATTTTAGGAGTAAAGGTATATTTCTGTTCAACACCTATTATTCCTGAGATTAAAAGAATGTTTTCAAAACAAATTAGAGAATTTTTATGTCATTTCAACTAATTAGTGATAATAATTCTTTCCATCCTTACCACTATGTGTCACTTAATATTTCCTAGGATTAAGGATGAATTGCAAAGCCAATTAGAGAAGTTTGATGTCATTTCTATTCATTAGCTATGATTCTTTCCATCCTTACCAATGTGTCATCTTATAGCAGAGCACCAAACAGGCTGAGACATTTGTTCAGCTTTTTGTTTAACGGTGAACACGACATGACTTGACATAGGAAACATGACATGGAACAAATATAATACCAAGTCCCTGTCCTCAGGGACTCCAGTTTCATCAAAGTAGACCATGACTCATCATTCTTTCTTGTGTCTCTTCAAGCTCCATTCTTCAGAAAAGTGGATTTGGGTGGGACTTGAATCAGAGAGGGTCAATGAGTTGGTAGAACTTGGAAAAATAGGTGGGCTCGACAGGACCAAAGAGAGGGGAGACAAGGTCTTTCCCCACTGGCTGTGTGCTGAATCTTCTAGAAACTTGCACACTTGGTGGAGCAATGATGCACATACACAGACAAGATAAATAAGTGAGAGAGTGGGTAGAATCTATAGGTAGAAATAATATGAATGAGAGTAAAGAGGAAGTGATGCTGTCACTCTGGTTGAGGGTCAGTCAGTATGCCAGTGATGTGCAACCAAGGCTTGGGGACTCAGTGCAGGAGAAACCCCTCGGGAAAGACTTTGCTTTCCAGGTTCCAAGTTGGAATTTAGTCCATAATATGTTAGTTCTTTTTCCTTTTTTGTTTTTTTATTTTACGTTTTTATTGTGAACTGAGTGCTAGTTGACATGGGAGAACATCAGTTTTACACCATCGTTTCATTGCAATGATTACAGTCTCCTCCGTGCGTCATCATTCAACAGTATTTGCTTCCATTCCCTGGGGTTTT